GCCAACCCCTGTAGCCCAGCAGGTCAGACCGTTGGGTCGTCGGCTCCGGGCTTTGAAATAGTCATGGATATCCTTCATAGGGAATTTCGACGGTCCCACGACATAGTTGAATTTTTCAACAATAATTTATTGAGTGGAAGCACTGCAGATGTTGAGGACACTGACGCTTTAAAGAAACTGGTATGCCAGACGAATAGCTGCAGATGTTTTATAGTGCCGTGTGGAATTGGTTGATATACTCGAATCGGACCCTATTGCGAATGCCCGAGCACCTTCTCTGGGAATGGATGAAGGTTTCGGACAATGTCAGAACGAACTAAAAAGCTGTCCTTTTGCTGGTTGGTTCAGTACTTTTTGAAGCCAGCCAGAAGTGCTAGTCATGCATTTAGTATAAGTGCAGATCATTTTAACTGACGTGCGAATGATGATCATTCACACATTTTTCCTCTGCATCCAGCGTCATTAGTTGTGCAGTGTACATTTCCGCCACTCGCTATAAAACTGTGTCACACTTCAAGCCTTCCCAATTATCATGAGGGAGGTTAAGTTGTGCTTTAGTTGCTTGACACCCAATAACCGGACAGACGCATGTAGAGCATTTACGGTCGAGGTGTACCAGGATGTGGCACACGACAGCATCACCTATTGCGCAAGGCCATTAACGCATTGCTATCAACTGCATCAACTGCCAACGTACAAGCTACTTCATTGGAAGACCCATTGACCTTCTAAGGGTCTGTCCAAGTGAGCCTGGCTGGGCCCTGTTCACGGTTTTATGCAATGCCATTCTTGACAGTTTACCAGACACTACATGCTGGGCACCGCCTACATGGCGCAGTGGCTCCAAAAGTCAAAATAATCAGTTTGTCACCCAGTCACAATGCAATTTTGGATCAAACATGACGTTTTAGGTCTGTCGACATCACACACGCATCTTTCCTCTACCAGAAAATTCAAAACCAATAAAGTTAAGGCTGTGCGTATTCGACTGCAAAGGCAGATTACTTAAATTTCACCACCTAGGCGTCAAAATTTGGGTCACTGGAAGCTACCAGATAGGACCATCGTTCACCCACCAATCTGCGAAAACTGGTGCATTTGACGTGACTTAATCTCAGACCCCCATCAGCTCAACTCTCCGGACAACCAAGAAATTTTCTTCACAGTTCATACATATCTGTATAGCGAGGAACCCCGATTCAAAGTATAGCTTACAGAGCCTGTAAAACTGCTTGGCTTCCTATACAATGGCACCAAGCGGTA